ACTGATGCAGTCCTACAGTAGTTGACCTTCAGTGGGATGACTAATGCAGTCCTACAGTAGGTGACCTTCAGTGGGATGACTGATGCAGTCCTACAGTAGTTGACCTTCAGTGGGATGACTAATGCAGTCCTACAGTAGTTGACCTTCAGTGGGATGACTAATGCAGTCCTACAGTAGTTGACCTTCAGTGGGATGACTGATGCAGTCCTACAGTAGGTGACCTTCAGTGGGATGACTGATGCAGTCCTACAGTAGTTGACCGTCAGTGGGATGACTGATGCAGTCCTACAGTAGTTGACCTTCAGTGGGATGACTGATGCAGTCCTACAGTAGGTGACCGTCAGTGGGATGACTAATGCAGTCCTACAGTAGTTGACCTTCAGTGGGATGACTAATGCAGTCCTACAGAAGATGACCTTCAGTTGGATGACTGATGCAGTCCTACAGTAGTTGACCTTCAGTGGGATGACTGATGCAGTCATACAGTAGGTGACCTTCAATGGGATGCCGTGTGTTTAACCCCTTTTGCAGGCAACCTCTCCTCATCCCCAGTGGATTCCTGTTTCTCACTAAGCTTGAACAATCGATAGCATACAATACTTAGTGTCTCGAAGGTTCTGTGTATATTGTCAGTATGATTCTAATATTGTTTATATAGAGAAAAATAAATTTTAAAGACAGATCAAATTTAATAATGCCTTCAGTCTAGTTTGATTTACAGCATGGGGGAAAGTCAGGACACAGACACATTCCATCACAACAAATTCATGGTTGATCAATCCTTAGTTTAACATGAAAGGGTCCCAACACATACCCTCTTTTAACATCTTATGGTATGATGCGGCAGGGGATCGAACCCCCGACCTTCTGATCTGGGCATACACTAGACCACGGAGGTGGTCTCTAGTAATAAAATATAGTGATTATGTCAATATGAATGCTAGTTGTGTAATGTTATGATGATATCGACATTAAGAATGCTTGTCATGCAATGTAATAATGATATCTTTTTGTAGAATGCTAGTTGTGCAATGTAATAGTGCATGATAGGATATAATTATGAAGAAGGATATGAAGAGTACATGTCAAGCAATGTAATAATGTGCCCTGCAATGTTATGATAATATCAATATGCAATATGCCACCAAACTCCCTAAAAATGTGCCACCATTGACCTCGGGGAAACTCCCTTGTGCCACCATGGACCTCAGGGAAACTCACTTGTGCCACAGAGCTCAGGGAAACTCCCTTGTGCCACCATGAACCTCAGGGAAACTCCCTTGTGCCACAGAGCTCAGGGAAACTCCCTTGTACCACCATGAACCTCAGGGAAACTCCCTTGTGCCACCATGGACCTCGGGGGAACTCCCTTGTGCCAAAATGGACCTCAGGGAAACTCCCTTGTGCCACAGAGCTCAGGGAAACTCCCTTGTGCCACCATGGACCTCAGGGAAACTCCCTTGTGCCACCATGGGCTTCAGGGAAACTCACTTGTGCCACAGAGCTCAGGGAAACTCCCTTGTGCCACCATGAACCTCAGGGAAACTCCCTTGTGCCACAGAGCTCAGGGAAACTCCCTTGTACCACCATGAACCTCAGGGAAACTCCCTTGTGCCACCATGGACCTCGGGGGAACTCCCTTGTGCCAAAATGGACCTCAGGGAAACTCCCTTGTGCCACAGAGCTCAGGGAAACTCCCTTGTGCCACCATGGACCTCAGGGAAACTCCCTTGTGCCACCATGGGCTTCAGGGAAACTCCCTTGTGCCACCATAGACCTCAGGGAAACTCCCTTGTGCCACCATGGACCTCAGGGTAACTCCCTTGTGCCACAGAGCTCAGGGAAACTCCCTTGTGCCAAAATGGACCTCAGGGAAACTCCCTTGTGCCACCATGAACCTGAGGGAAACTCCCTTGTGCCACCATGGACCTCAGGGAAACTCCCTTGTGCTACCATGAACCTCAGGGAAACTCCCTTGTGCCACCATGGACCTCAGGGGACCTCCATTGTGCTACAGAGCTCAGGGAAACTCCCTTGTGCCACCATGGACCTCAGGGAATCTCCCTTGTGCCACAGAGCTCAGGGAAACTCCCTTGTGCCACCATGGACCTCAGGGAATCTCCCTTGTGCCACAGAGCTCAGGGAAACTCCCTTGTGCCACCATGAACCTCAGGGAAACTCCCTTGTGCCACCATGGACCTCGGGGGAACTCCCTTGTGCCACCATGAACCTCAGGGAAACTCCCTTGTGCCACCATGGACCTTGGGAAAACTCCTTTGTGCCACCATGGATCTCAGGGAAACTCCCTTGTGCCACAGAGCTCAGGGAAACTCCCTTGTGCCACCATGAACCTCAGGGAAACTCCCTTGTGCCACAGAGCTCAGGGAAACTCCCTTGTACCACCATGAACCTCAGGGAAACTCCCTTGTACCACCATGGACCTCGGGGGAACTCCCTTGTGCCACCATGGACCTCGGGGGAACTCCCTTGTGCCAAAATGGACCTCAGGGAAACTCCCTTGTGCCACAGAGCTCAGGGAAACTCCCTTGTGCCACCATGGGCTTCAGGGAAACTCCCTTGTGCCACTATAGACCTCAGGGAAACTCCCTTGTGCCACCATGGACCTCAGGGAAACTCCCTTGTGCCACAGAGCTCAGGGAAACTCCCTTGTGCCAAAATGGACCTCAGGGAAACTCCCTTGTGCCACCATGAACCTCAGGGAAACTCCCTTGTGCCACCATGGACCTCAGGGGACCTCCATTGTGCTACAGAGCTCAGGGAAACTACCTTGTGCCACCATGGACCTCAGGGAATCTCCCTTGTGCCACAGAGCTCAGGGAAACTCCCTTGTGCCACCATGGACCTCAGGGAATCTCCCTTGTGCCACAGAGCTCAGGGAAACTCCCTTGTGCCACCATGAACCTCAGGGAAACTCCCTTGTGCCACCATGGACCTCGGGGGAACTCCCTTGTGCCACCATGAACCTCAGGGAAACTCCCTTGTGCCACCATGAACCTCAGGGAAACTCCCTTGTGCCACCATGGACCTCGGGGGAACTCCCTTGTGCCACCATGAACCTCAGGGAAACTCCCTTGTGCCACCATGGACCTTGGGAAAACTCCCTTGTGCCACCATGAACCTCAGGGAAACTCCCTTGTGCCATCATGGACCTCGGGAAAACGCCCTTGTGCCACCATGAACCTCAGGGAAACTCCCTTGTGCCACAGAGCTCAGGGAAACTCCCTTGTGCCACCAAGGACCTCGGGGAAACTCCCTTGTGCCACCATGGACCTCGGGAAAACTCCCTTGTGCCACCATGGACCTCGGGGAAACTCCCTTGTGCCACAGAGCTCGGGGAAACTCCCTTGTGCCACCATGGACATCAGGGAAACTCCCTCTGCCACAGAGCTCAGGGAACTGTTGCATTACCAATAAGTTTGAGTATGTCTACACATATTGTCAAGGTGGTGGATCAATATATCACCAGACTTCCCAGGTGTCCCTGAATAAATAACCTCTACATGATTTCAGTAACTGAGAATACATCATGTTGATACTGACCAGCAAATAGACTGATTGACAGCAGATTCTCCACTGATTGCATCAATGTACAAACTGTGGGCTGTATGTGTTGATGTCGAATGTCAGCTGATAATCACATGAATGTACACCAACTTTCCCCTCTGAACATCTCCTGGTCTTTCAGTGTCATCTTTACAAATCCTCCTGAATGACATGTTCCCGGTGGACTCACACACTGTACATTAATCTCTACATTCCAAGTGACATTTGTATGATCCCTGTGAAGGACGGGGATGATCTGCCTTCAGGTGGATGTGTGTTGCCATGAACTGGGCAAGCTGCATCAGTCATGAGGCTGTCATGAGGCCGTCATGAGGCTGTCATGTAAATTGGTGAAGTGAAGAGTTCCTGAAGCCATCATCCAATGTTGATTCAAGGAGACGTTTCAGGAAGTTTAAGAACCTCGTAACTGAATCTCTCATATTTTTTGTCAGTTTAGTAGAAATTGAAAGTATATAAATCATTAGAATTATTGAGTAGTGGTGGTTGAGTTGCAACACAATTTCCTTTATTTTCATCAATATGATTTTCATCCATGAAGTATCAGTTATATACATCATGTATGCTTCAATGTCAGTTATATGCATCATGTATGCTTCAGTGTCAGTTATATACATCACGTACATGCTTGTGTCAGTTATATACATCATGCATGCTTCAGTGTCAGTTATATACATCATGTATGCTTCAATGTCAGTTATATACATCATGTATGATTCAGTGTCAGTTATATACATCACGTACATGCTTCAGTGTCAGTTATATACATCATGTATGCTTCAGTGTCAGTTATATACATCATGTATGCTTCAGTGTCAGTTATATACATCATGTATGCTTCAATGTCAGTTATATACATCATGTATGCTTCAGTGTCACTTATATACATCATGTATGCTTCAATGTCAGTTATATACATCATGTATGATTCAGTGTCAGTTATATACATCACGTACATGCTTCAGTGTCAGTTATATACATCATGTATGCTTCAGTGTCAGTTATATACATCATGTATGCTTCAGTGTCAGTTATATACATCATGTATGCTTCAATGTCAGTTATATACATCATGTATGCTTCAGTGTCACTTATATACATCATGTATGCTTCAATGTCAGTTATATACATCATGTATGCTTCAGTGTCAGTTATGTACATCATGTATGCTTCAATGTCAGTTATATACATCATGTATGCTTCAATGTCAGTTATAAACATCATGTATGCTTCAATGTCAGTAATATGCATCATGCATGCTTCAGTGTCAGTTATATACGTCATGTATGCTTCAGTGTCAGTGTCAGTGTCAGTTATATACATCACGTACATGCTTCAGTGTCAGTTATATACGTCATGTATGCTTCAGTGTCAGTGTCAGTGTCAGTTATATACATCAACTGTTGTTGTGCCTGCAGAGCCAGTCGACTTGCCGCCTCCAGAGCCGGAGTTCCTAACTGTGCCCAACAACATCACCGTGCGCGAAGGGGAACTTGCAAAGTTGCCATGCTCCGTGCTGCACCTGGGAACAAAACAGGTAACAGACACCTCGTAAAGTACACTTAAGATATATCCTGCAATACAGACAGCTGGCATAGTACACTTAAGATATATCCTGCAATACAGACAGCTGGCATAGTACACTTAAGATATATCCTTCAATACAGACAGCTGGCATAGTACACTTAAGATATCTCCTGCAATACGGACAGCTAGCATAGTACACTTAAGATATCTCCTTCAATACAGATAGCTGGCATAGAACACTTAAGATATCTCCTGCAAAGAAACAGCTGGCATAGTACACTTAAGATATCTCCTGTAATACAGATAGCTGGCATAGTACACTTAAGATATCTCCTGCAATACGGACAGCTGGCATAGTACACTTAAGATATCTCATGCAATACAGACAGCTGGCATAGTACACCTAAGATATCTCCTGTAATACAGATAGCTTGCGTAGTACACTTAAGATATCTCCTTCAATACAGACAGCTGGCATAGTACACCTAAGATATATCCTGCAATACAGACAGCTTGCACAGTACACCTAAGATATCTCCTGCAATACAGACAGCTTGCGTAGTACACTTAAGATATCTCCTGCAATACGTACAGCTTGCATAGTACACTTAAGATATCTCCTTCAATACAGATAGCTGGCATAGTACACTTAAGATATCTCCTGCAATACTTGCGTAGTACACTTAAGATATCTCCTTCAATACAGACAGCTGGCATAGTACACCTAAGATATATCCTGCAATACAGACAGCTTGCACAGTACACCTAAGATATCTCCTGCAATACAGACAGCTTGCGTAGTACACTTAAGATATCTCCTGCAATACGGACAGCTGGCATAGTGCACTTAAGATATCTCCTTCAATACAGATAGCTGGCATAGTACACTTAAGATATCTCCTGCAATACAGACAGCTTGCATAGTACACTTAAGATATCTCCTACAAACAGACAGCTGGCTTAGTACACCTAAGATATCTCCTTCAATACAGATAGCTGGCATAGTACACTTAAGATATCTCCTGCAATACAGACAGCTTGCACAGTACACTTAAGATATCTCCTGCAAACAGACAGCTGGAATAGAACACTGAAGATATATCCTGCAATACAGACAGCTTGCATAGTACACCTAAGATATCCCCTGCAATACAGACAGCTTGCATAGTACACTTAAGATATCTCCTGCAATACGGACAGCTAGCATAGTACACTTAAGATATCTCCTTCAATACAGATAGCTGGCATAGTACACTTAAGATATCTCCTGCAAACAGACAGCTGGCATAGTACACCTAACCGTCTCATGCAATACAGACAGCTGGCATAGTACACTTAAGATAGCTCCTTCAATACAGACAGCTGGCATAGTACACTGAAGATATATCCTGCAATACAGACAGCTGGCATAGTACACTGAAGATATATCCTGCAATACAGACAGCTGGCATAGTCCACTTAAGATATATCCTGCAATACAGACAGCTGGCATAGTACACTTAAGATATCTCCTGCAATACGGACAGCTGGCATAGTACACTTAAGATATCTCCTCAATACAGACAGCTGGCATAGTACACTTAAGATATCTCCTTCAATACAGACAGCTGGCATAGTACACCTAAGATATCTCCTGCAAACAGACAGCTTGCATAGTACACTTAAGATATCTCCTGCAATACAGACAGCTGGCATAGTGCACTTAAGATATCTCCTTCAATACAGACAGCTGGCATAGTACACTTAAGATATCTCCTTCAATACAGACAGCTGGCATAGTACACTTAAGATATCTCCTGCAAACAGACAGCTGGCATAGTACACTTAAGATATCTCCTGCAATACAGACAGCTGGCACAGTACACTTAAGATATCTCCTTCAATACAGACAGCTGGCATAGTAGTCTAGTAAGTATTGTAATCCCTGGATACTACAGGCGTAGTTATGTGTAGTTTAACAAGAATAGTTGCTGCAGCTTATTTGATGTGAGAAAGGAGGGCTATAATGTCTCTTTACATGACAGTGAGACGTTTTCTAAAACAAACACATGACACACTGACATCATGTCTGTCACACAGAACAAACACATGACACACTGACATCATGTCAGTCACACAGAACAAACACATGACACACTGACATTATGTCTGTCACACAGAACAAACACATGACACACTGACATCATGTCTGTCACACAGAACAAACACATGACACACACTGACAACATGTCTGTCACACAGAACAAACACATGACACACTGACATCATGTCTGTCACACAGAACAAACACATGACACACTGACATCATGTCTGTCACACAGAACAAACACATGACACACACTGACAACATGTCTGTCACACAGAACAAACACATGACACACTGACATCATATCTGTCACACAGAACAAACACATGACACACTGACATCATGTCTGTCACACAGAACAAACACATGACACACTGACATCATGTCTGTCACACAGGACAAACACATGACACACACTGACAACATGTCTGTCACACAGAACAAACACATGACACACTGACATCATGTCTGTCACACAGGACAAACACATGACACACTGACATCATGTCAGTCACACAGAACAAACACATGACACACTGACATCATGTCTGTCACACAGAACAAACACATGACACACACTGACAACATGTCTGTCACACAGAACAAACACATGACACACTGACATCATGTCTGTCACACAGAACAAACACATGACACACACTGACAACATGTCTGTCACACAGAACAAACACATGACACACTGACATCATGTCTGTCACACAGAACAAACACATGACACACTGACATCATGTCTGTCACACAGGACATGTGTGACTGTGTGACAGACATGATGTCAGTGTGTCATGTGTTTGTTCTGTGTGACATACACAAAGCCACAACACAAAACTTTAGATGATTGCATCACACAATAGCTGATTGTTCCTTTTTAATAAACATGAGTCATAAATGATGTATCATGACATGATACCAATTAATACCATAGTGTGTAGTTAAGTATTCAGGCATTAAATGTACATCTACACAGACGACTAGGCGCCGACATGAATTCGTTCTGAAAAGGCCAAGGTAGCAGGTCAGGAAATATTTATAGAAAATGGAAACTAATCACTCCTTGTTCTGTTTGTGATACTCATAAGTTTTGTGTAAGATGCATTGAGGCAATGCACATATAAAAGATATTGATTTGGGTACACATGTATGTCCTGTGTTACATCCGTACATCGCCAACAAAACAAGGATAGCCTTGTATTGATTTGATGAGGGATACAACTGCCATGTTGATCTGACCCTTGCGAACACAGACGTCACAGGCTATTTAACAAACCTTCTGTCTGATGTTGCCGATACAGCACTGTATCAGTTCTTCCATCGAAGAAGGTTGGGAAGACCTATCTCAAGCCAAGAGGGAGTCAGTCAGAGAAATCATTGTGGTTGTGTGGCATTACAGTGACCTGCTACTTGCCTGCACTTACTGAGGGACGGCTGAATCAGCCACTACCTACACACAATATTTAACTAAAATGCGTTCATTAATATGCAATAGAGAATCGTATATGTTTTATTGTTTTTTCTTGGAAAATGACCTAATGCACTTTAGTGGGTGAAGAGTTGTGCTAAAGGGAATATTAGCTTTACTCTAAGACTGTACTGAAAGCAAAGTCTATGGATGTGTAGTAATTCTATACTCCTAATAGGCAAGTCTAGATATGTGGACAGTACGCTCCAGTCTCTTATAGGGACAACTTGTTCTTATTGTTTACATAATCTAGATATTATGATTTAAAGTAATAATTATTGCCTCAGAGACAGGTTGATGTGTAGATGTGTAGATGTTTCCACTACTAGAATGTAAATGAAAAGCTTCTTGAAGCTGAGATGATTTGGTTCAGTTTACGCCAATGAAGGAATACTTTAAATACTAACCTTGATTTCATAAGTTTTTGCATCTAAGTGTAGTTTTGGAGTTGATTGTTTTTATACCTCAGATGAATTATATGTGACTTATATGAATTGCAAAACTCTCATGATATATGGATCCGATACTCCAGATGTACTGGTTATGTTCATATAGTTATTGGGTGTGCCCACTTCCTGGGGCCACTGGCTGTCCTTCTGCAAGGCCATGTCTGGTGCATGTGACTGTGCCTGTTGGAGCTCAGTAACTGTTTCAAAACAAATATTAAGGTTTAAAATGTTATATTTAGTGCTGGCTAATCTACAAGAAAATAGTTCCACATTGTAAAGAGAGTATGTTTATTTCCATTCTACCATGACAAAATTAAATGCAATCCTTTGGTGCAAATATATTGAGTAAAATGGCTAAGGGGGATTCCAGTGGATTGTTAAGGTTGAGGCGAACACAGATCACTGCCCTTCAGTAAAAGCTGCATATACTTGTTTGTGTGTTTGCTTGTTTAATGCCACATTCGGCAATATTCCAGCTGTATGATGGCGATCTGTTAATAATAAAATTTGGACCACACAATCCAGTGATCGATATTGTGAGCATAGGTCGTTGCAATTCGGATCTGGTCACATGCAATCAGCCCAGGCGCTGAGGCGGACCACCCAGTCCATTTAGTCGCCTCAGATACCGTCCATGGCTTGCTGGTATTCTTACCTGGAATCCCCACAGGTTCTGTGTATTCTGACATTATGTTCTTATAGCAATAAACCTTCCATGTTAAACCCTAAAGAAGCAAACCTTGCAATGTTTGGTTGTAAACCACCCATCATTGTTATGATATTACACAAGTCATCATGGTTGTTGTCATACCAAATATAGGACATCACAGTGAGGTGAGGTGAGGTGAGGTGAGGTGAGGTGAGGTGAGGTGAGGTGAGGTGAGGTGAGGTGAGGTGAGGTGAGGTGAGGTGAGGTGAGGTGAGGTGAGGTGAGGTGAGGTGAGGTGAGGTGAGTGAGTGAGTATCACCAGTGGTTGACAGGATGAGTGATAATTCAT